TGGGAGATTTTCCAGCTGCCCCAGCCCCAGAGCGGCTCCTCCCGTTCGTCTCACATTCCCTAAGGCAAATGTGCCACAGGTTGCCTGGCCCTGGGCTGCCGGGGGGCTGCCAGGGGCTCTCCGAGCTCAGGGAAGGGTCCCTGGCCCACAGCCCCATGAGGTGTGCACGGGAGGTGGCTGTGCGCTGCTCAGGTCCCCGCTCTGTCCTGCCTTGCCCTGCGCATTGCAGGATACCAATAAAACCCCAGACTATTACTCACCGCTGGGCCGTTCTAGACAAGCGTCTGCATTATTTTTGGCTGCCTTTGCCTTGGGGCTCCTGGAAGCCAGGGATTCAGGGAAGCCGCAGCACAGCTCTGTTTAAACAAGTGCTCTTAATAGAGCTGCGAGGGGAGAAGGAGACGCGGTGGAATTTGTGGTGGGGAGGGGAGAGGGGCTGTGAGCACACCCTGCACTGGGTGAGCTGTCCCCAGGCAGCGCTGTCGGGGAGAGCCCGCTCCTCCCCACCGTATTTGCCAGCCGGGAGTGAGTGCTGTAGCTCCGGGACCCCAGGAGCGATTCCCTTCTGCTCTGTGGCTGCCCCAGTGGTAGAGCATCATCTCGCCCCACGGGTCTGCCCTGGGGTCCCCCGTGACCTGGTGTCACCTCCCCACCGCAGGCTCTGTATCATGGGAAGTTCATCGATACCGGCTTCACATTACCCTTCTACAAGCGGATGCTGAACAAGCGGCCCACGCTGAAGGACCTGGAATCCATCGACCCCGAGTTTTACAACTCCATCGTCTGGACCAAGTGAGTGGCCTGCTCTCCCTCCTGGCCCGGGGCCCGTCCTGCTGCGGGGGAGGCAGCGCTCCTCCCCACGGCTCCTCACTGCTGCCAAGTGCCTGTCAGAAATCACATCCCGGTGTCCTCCTGCAGGGAGAACAGCCTGGAGGAGTGCGGCCTGGAGCTGTACTTCATCCAGGACATGGAGATCTTGGGCAAGGTGACCACCCATGAGCTGAAGGAGGGCGGCGAGAGCATCCGGGTGACAGAGGAGAACAAGGAGGAGTATATCATGTGAGTGGCCATCCCAACGCCCCCGCCGGGCGCCTACCCCTGCCAGCTGCAGGGCAGTTCTGGGGTGGGAACGTGGGGCTTGGGACGTGGCCGCCTCCCTGGGCTACGTGGCCTGTGACAAGTATGGGCTGGCGCGGTCGGCTGAGCTCTGCTGCGGTCTGGCTTGCTGCTGGCTGGGCAGTTGCCAGTACTTTCAGGAAAGAGGAGAGGGGAAAGAGGGTGAGACTTCTCTCCCTGTCCTGTGGCTGCTCCCCCTGCCTGTCCACGGCTGGGCTGGCTGGGAGCTGCCAGGGCCAACTCCTCCTGCCGATGGTAGGCTCCCATTAGGGGACCTAGTTTGCACCCTGTGTTCCCATGACAGCTGCTGGTCTGTGCTCGGGGCTGTCTGCTGCACTTGGGTTCGGAGGTGGAAAGAGAAACCCACTAGTGGGAATTGAGGGGAGCCCTGGTGATTTGCAGGAGCCCCTCTCCGCCTCCCCACACACTCCTTCAGCTCTTGGGGCCCTCCCCACCAGCAGGAGGGATGGCAGGGGTTCCCGGTGCTGGGCCAGCGGCGCTGGCTGCCTGCCGACTGCCTCTGCCTTCCCAGGCTGCTGACGGACTGGAGGTTCACACGGGGCGTGGAGGAGCAGACCAAGGCTTTCCTGGACGGATTCAACGAGGTGGTGCCGCTGGAGTGGCTGCGGTACTTTGACGAGAAGGAGCTGGAGGTGAGCTGGCGCCTGTGCTGGGATGGGGACGTGGAGATACCGGCACTTCCCACCCTGCCACGGGCTTCCCTGGGAATGGCATGCGGTGACGGCAGAGCGCACAGGCTCCGCTCACACCCTCTGCCCCTCGGCTCTGCTGATGGATGTACCCCTGCCCCAGGTGGTTGGGTCTGTGGGGTGGCTCGTTGGGTCTGTTAGCAAGGAAACATCTTGTTGGAGGCGAGGAGTTTCTCCCAGACACCTCCATTGCCCAGTGCTGGAGCCTGCGCCTTGTGCAGCCCGGCACCGGAGGAGTGGGCACAGGGCCCTGTTTCTGTCCCCCTGCTAACCGTCCCCTGTCCCCAGCTGATGCTGTGCGGGATGCAGGAGATCGACATGAACGATTGGCAGAAGAACACCATCTACCGGCACTACACCAAGAACAGCAAACAGATCCAGTGGTTCTGGCAGGTCAGTCCCAGCACCGGCAGTGCCTCTCCTGCTCCCCACCCCTGGGATTGTCCCCTGCCTGAGGCTCCAGGGCAGGCAGGGCTGGCCCGGGACAGGCAGCCTCACCAGGCTGTC